GGAAGAGTAAAAGTGAGAAAATTCATGGGTTGAGATAAAGGCAGTTTAATGGGTAAAGCAAAAGCCGCACCCACAAGCAAAGCAAGGAATTCCTCCACTACTTCCCATCAGCAGGCAGGTGTTCAGCCATCCTTAGGAAAGCAGGGCTCCATCATGCTTAACGGTTACTTGGGAAGACAAATGCCATCACTCTGCATGTCCCCCCCTTCCTTTTCTCCTTCGCAGTTTATATGCTGAGCATGACATCACATGGTATGGAATAGCCCTTTGGCCAGTCTGGGTCAGCTGTCCTGGCTGTGCCCCCTCCCAGCTTCTTGTGCACCTGGCAGAGCATGGGAAGCTGAAAAGTCCTTGACTAGTGTAAACTCTGCTCAGCAAGAACCAAAATATCAGTGTTATCAACATTATTCTCATGCTAAATCCAAAACACAGCACTATACCAACTACTGGGAAGAAAATTAACTCTATCCCAGCTGTAAACCAGGACAAAATGTACTGTGGCATTCAAGTAACTATAACTCACTAGGTTATGAATTTAATATACCTCACAGCTCATGGAAGGCATTGTAGTATTTCCTCACTAGAGAGGCTCTCCTGCAAGTTTGTTCTTAAGTACAGAGGCTGTGCCTTCTGCTACTGAGTTGTGCCAAAACCATTAGTTGAGTATGTTTAGCATTTTCTGTTACTGATTTTTTTATTTTGTTTGGTTTGTTGCAGCATCTGTAAACTTGTACAAAATAAAGTTGCACAACACTAACTGGTAACTGTTGGAACACTGACAGTAAAATCACACCCATGCATTTGTTACAGTATGAAAAATCCCATTCTCAAATAGTGGATTCTTACATCTTCCATTAAGAGAACAAACATACATGCTGTATATATACAAACACAGCCTAGACCTATGCATTTTGCCCTTTAATTTGCTCCCCAAATAAAAGCCCCAGGCTTTGATTTATAACCGGCCTTTCTGTGGTCTCTTCTCCTTTTGTCATTCATCTGCATAGCCCACTTAGACTGAACTGGAACTAATTTAGTATCTTTTATAGATGCTTGAGAGATGCTAACTCATATCTTCTTGACTCTGAACCTCTGTTGGTGTCCGAAAACCTTACATTAATGTCTTGCTTCTTGCTAAAGGTAAAATGAACTCATTTCAGCATGCAGTAAGCTGTTGAGGAATACCTGTGCCATTAGGTGTGATACACTGCAAATGTAAATACAGTCTGTTTTCTGCTGGTAAAACAGCATTTTAACAAATAGTTGTAGCTGCCCTTCCTGACGATAAAAGGATAGTCCCACTTTTTCTGCATTACTTGCTAATCAGTTAGCATTTTTTGTTATTGTAGCAGTAAGTTGACAGAAGAATAATTTCCTATTCTCAGTTTGCTTACAGACAACTCAGAGGTGTGGTAACCTCTTGCAAATGCCTAGATATACTTGCAAATTTATAGAGTAGTGGGATAACTTAACTTGGAAAGGAGCTCATGAGGTCCATAGTTCCCTGATCCTTTTACTACCAAGTGTTGGGCTCAGACAAGGGATTTCAGGTTGCAATTTTGGCAAAACCTGTACCAGAATTTTATTCATTGATTTTTAGGTACAATTGCCTATTGCAAAGATTAAATGAAACAAGCAGACACTGGATACTTAAGTTACACCATTATTATTGCCTTCAATCAAATTATAAAACTGACTTTTAGATGTTGTGCTTTGTCTAAGACTGTTAGACTCATATCCCAGAAGGTTCCATAGCTGCCTGCCTTCTGTATTCAAAAGATGTGATGTTTGTCTCGGTAGCAAGCTACCAAGATACAGCTGTATTTACCACTGCTGTATTCAGGAAGATACACTTATATATTTCCGTATTGTTTTGTCTAAGTGTTATGTTTCCAACTGTTAAGTACTATTAACTGTCAAGTGAAGCTTCAACAGAATCCTTACATGCAAAGGCACAAATGTACAATCATGACGCTGAAGAGTAATGCAAGCGTTCTGGCAATTTTGAAACCTCTTAGCAATTGTTTTACTACCTAATCCTTATCAGGAAACATCTACTTTGTACCTCCAAATAGTGACTGTAGCCAAGGGTCTTTATATCCGGCAGAGCAGGTTTGCTGCAGAGCTGTGTATATTACAATAATACGCACTGAGATTTCTGGGGATTGTAGAATTAGGAAATCGCCCTCAAAGGGATTTGATTTTAAACGCTTGTTTGGCTTCCTCCTGAATCATCAGTAGCAGCAGCTTTGGGAATCAGTTGCTGATTTCTGACTTTAAAGAGAATTAAGCAATGTGGGGATTTCATGTCTTGTTTTTCCAGAAACTTCGTTATTATCAGTTAGAAACTCTTATCTTCCGATTCTAGGGTTGTGAGGAGTGAAACTACTTTAGCTTAGTCCTGTTTCCATTTCATTTCTACTTTGATATCCTGCAAGATTGTCTTTGTTTTTCGCCTGTACTGATCCTGCCCTATATAGAGGCAAGGAATGGACCTTCTGGTTCCATCCTGGAAGGGAATCTGTTCTTCCCTCTGACTATTGCAAATACTTTGTGGTATCTGTTTAGCTTCCAAGTCAGCCTGATAATTTTTTTTTTTTTTTAAATATGCTTTAGCCTTTCCTGCTTGCATTCTTCCTGGTCTCCTTTCTGTGATATCCTGTCTGTCCTTAGTGCCTTCCAAGGCACTCTCTTCTTAAGCCGTCTATTTAGTGCAGCATTTCAGTGCATGTCTTTAAACAAGTTAAACCAATACAGGTTTCATTGTTAAAACACCACTTTGTGTGTGGAGCTTAACTGCACTGCACCAGAAATCCTTCCTTATTTATCCTAATTGAGTTCCCAGTAATGAGTTTTATTGAATTCACGTGTCAGCTTATATTGGAGAAATAAGAAAAAGATTGTAGTATATAACTTACTTGTTCAAACAAAATGGAATTTATCTGTACGTAATGACATTGCTTCAGCTTTATGCAAAATTTACTTTCTCTGGGGGAGGTATTGTAAAATACTCTTTCAGTATTTTAGTCGCTTTGTTTCAACTCCTAATGACAGTGTGGTTTTGTTTTCTGTGATTACTATCTCAGCCTAAGCAATGAGGATTTCACGACTGCCCACCTATTTAGACTGTAGCTGGTCTGCTGTGGTGACTGGCTTTGCAAAAATACTGCTACCAGTGATTAAATACCCATGTGTTATTTTAGCCTCAGAACAAAGGTGTTATAGTAGGAAATGAACATGAGGTGGGTCGTGTTGCATTCATGATCTGTATTAGGCAAAGTGTACAACTGCTTCTGTTCAACGTGAATCAAATCAGAGTACTCAAATGAGATTGTTAAGAAAGAGCTCCCTTTGCCTCAGTTCCCAATTCTCCTTCTGTCCCAATGTAAAGTATAAGAGACAAGATGCACTGTAGACTTGATACTGTTTTTTGGAGGTGAAACAGCCAAAAACTCATAATGATTGATATAAAAAAATGCAATAAAAGAACTCGCAGAGAAAATACAGTCTAGCAAGATTATAAATGTAAATGCATTTTGAGATCATCTTTCTATTAGGGCTAAGGCCCTCACAAAGGATTGGCCACTTTTTATTGCTTTATGCCCTGTAACAGATTGATTCATTCTACTTTGAAATGAAATTTGTAGTGGAAATACCACTTGAATTTTTTACAGTACTGATGCCAGAAAGTATTGTAGTATTTTACAAAAGTACTTTGATTCTGTTACTCTTCTTAGCATAAAGGATATAGGAAACTTGGGGAATTCTGGCAGGAGAAATTTGTTGCTTGTTAACTTTTCTGCACTTTCCTTTTTTAGGTGACTTGCTATTGAGGGTTAGGGAGAGTGTGGCAGCTACAGACCACAACAAGGATTGCAGTATACAGACACACAGGGCTGTGCCTCTGGACACGGGCTGCACCGTGTAGGTTTGGTCATCTTCAGCCCATTGTTGTAGATGCGCAGCGTGGTGACTCGGTTATTTTGATAATGTGCGCTTAGAGTAGAACTGGTGTTTTACTCATCCCTTCAGGCAATCTTTCTATGCAGGTGTTCCACTTAACATACCAGGCATTATTTTCTTTGAGGAACTAAGGAAACACTTTTTGTATATGCTTTTATTAATTAAAAAAAGGTAAGCATCTAATGATAGTCAAAGGATGAATTCAAACACATTAAATAAAAGTATTTCTACTATTAAGCATTGTTTCTTTCATTAGAACCATCTAAAGGACCACCCATATGGAGGATCATTGATGCATCTCGCTCACCAGCTTCCTGGACTGTGCATCTGATGTGGAAGGTAAAGCAGCATGATAAACTGCAGGAATTGAGCATTCTTTTAAAAAAATGAGGTTTTAAGTGGCAAAATTTACCTCAACAAACTTGAGTAGATAGCTGGGATAGTACAGTTTTTATTGATACAAGAAGTGACTTTAGTACTTTTATTTATAATAATTAGTTATGAAAAATTAAGAGTACAGATGTAAAGGCCATCAGTTAACTGACACACATCTGTGATCCAGAGTATACAGAACCCACTATCAGATTCCTGACTTGCTGTCCTTAACCAGTCAGTGGAATTGGAAACTTTCACTTGAACAAAGTAAACCTTCATGTTATGCCTTCTGCTGTATCCTAAAACTTTTGTAATGCTATCTGGACAGGCATACTCCAGCTGCAAAATCCATTAAGTCTAGAGACATTCCAGAGGCCAAACAGAACTGCACATTTGCATGCAGTAGGCTGCTGTGTCTAGTTGGCTGATTAGTCCAAAGCTGAGAAAGTGAATGCTATTATGGTCGTCCCCATCTCCTGCTTTCTTTTGGTCTGTGAACTTTGTCACATTTGATCTAGCTGTCTTTTAATTATTACTTTTTCCCTATTACTAGGTGGCTTAGGTGAAGTTACATGTATATTGACATGACATCATTTTTTCTGATGTAACTCATATGCCACATGCCACTTCTGACATTATTTAGCTTAGAATTGGAAAACTGGTGCTACTTTACAGTTTCAACAATTTTCTCTTAAGTTATCGGAAAACTAATACTGTTATACAAAAACATAGTATTTTTCTGTGTTATTAGATAACACAGAAACAAGTATTGTTCCCTGTGTAATAAAAGAAAACTACTCGGACTGTTTTGCATTCAGGTTCAACACAACTTAAGATGTGAGATTCCTTTTATGTCATTATGTTGTAAAGTCACATAAAACGTAGGTTTTATCAATACGTGTTCTGCAGCCTTTACAGAATGGCTTTTATTAAATTACTAAGTAGGATTATGAAGAAAGAAAAAGAGGATTTAAACCAGTAGTAGTTCTGGAAGTTACTGCTTTACAGAAATAAACACAGGTTATTTGCGCTTTCCTTAGATGTGGAGCTATTTGATCTACATAACTTGTCTTGCTCTCAGATTTTTAAATTGTGCATCAAAGACAGTAAAGGTTGTCAACGTATGTTCAGTATCAGTCTAATCAAAGATGTGTTTCTAACAGGCCTTGGAGCCATTTGAAGCCAATGGAGTAATCTTGCAGTATGAAGTGACTGTCAGAGCTAAATCATCTCTCTTCAGTCCACTAGAGAAATACAACGTTAATACCACCAACCTTACATTAAAGCTGCCGAATGGAACTTACGAAGTGACTGTGATTGCCCGTAACAGAGTCGGGGCATCGCCTCCATCAGTTTTACTTATCCCAGCAAGTAATTCAAAAGGTTAGTGTCCTAGTAATGTCTCTTTCAAATGCATCTGCATGGCTTTTGTTGTAAGAAATCTTCAGTGTTGTAAAATGCTACCTTTTACATGGATGCGTAATTAAAGTATTATTGAATCTACAGTCTTATGCCTTATAATTATGCTACTATTTGTACACTAGGGAACGTGTGTATTTATGTAGTCATAGGTTCATTTGAAGCCACGTGTGCTATTTGGCTGTTCTTTTTGGTCCGTAGAGCTACTGTGCACTATATTCTCCATGTTTCTTTTCTTAGCACGGCAGGCATTTTTGTTTTCCTTTTAAAAAAATCAAAGGGTTGGGGAAGCAAGCATCCTTTACTTCATGTATATACCATCTCACCATTGTTCTTCCTTCTGCTTTCTGATCTCCCCCCCCTACCCTTTTCTTCTCTTGTCCCAGTCTCACTCTCCCACATTTTCACTGTCTTGCCTGGTTGCTTTGTCATCTGCTTCCACTGTTTCCCTACTGTTCATGTTCCTATTTATTATGTTCGTTTCACTGCGCAGTAGTAGTAACTACAGGCTGGTTTCTCCTTACTTCCAGCCTCCTCTTAGACAATCCAAACACTGCCAGGACAGGAAGCAAAAAATAATACGGACCAGATGCTGCTTTTAGTGTAAACATGAAGGGAGCCACAGGTTCTAAAATTATTAGATGAACTAGTTAACGGTATGTTTCAAACAAGGTATCATTGCAGCCAGAAGTACTTGGTAAGGTGCATGAGTGTGAGGATTAGAATGGCAATTTAGAAGTGTCACAAGGTTTGATTTCTCTCTGAAATAGACCTTTTCTTTTGGAGGAGACATAGTATCTCTTCACTGTGCAATAAGGCTGTGAGAACAAAGCAGCTGAATCTAATTTCCAGTTTTTAAATAGCCTAATACTGCTTATTTTGGATCTCTCATACAAAGGTTCAGATGTAAGCTTCCAAATTGCAGAAAATGGCTTTTACATTTACTTAGGTTCTGTCAAATTGTCACCATTACAATAACCCAAAAGTATCCACATTTGACAAAGTAGCTATTATTATGAATATCTAGTCAAAGAACTGACAATATTTATCACTTTTCTGTTTTCTTTCATCACAGCTCCTGTGAAGAATGTTAGAACACTACCTAAAGATGGCAAGCTGTGGGTAGGGTGGACTGCTCCTAACAGTTATGTTCTTAAATATGTGGTTGAGTGGTGTCTGGTGTCCAACAGCTCAGACTGTATCATAGAATGGCAGAACGAACCAGGAAATGTTCAAGGAACATACTTAAAAGGTATTTAGTTCATAAGTCTACAAATACCTTGTAGATCACTCTAAAAACCAAATAAGTATTCTCAAAATGAGGAACATCCTCATGCTGACTAGAATTTTACTGTAGGACAGGAATCTGGGATAATGCTGAGGGCTTCTCTTAGTTTATCATGAATGTGGAAGTACCTGTATTTTGTATTTTGTCAAATACAAAACTATCTAATCTTGCATTTTGAAATTTGTATTACGTAACGGCAAGGGTTTTATCTGCATTTTATTTTAATCTTCTTGTTCTTGGAAACCATTAAAATGGTGAACAGGCTGAGTTCCTTCAAAATCAAATTCTCTGACCCCTCTTTCAGTGCAAACACTGAAACTTGATCGGCTTTACAGTTCTTTTCAGATTGCGATCAGTAGCTCAAATCAATAATTTTGGGGTTCAGTTCTGCAGACAGATAAAGGCTTTTTATTTAAAATAAATTAGAAAAAAACAGACTACTATGAAGCCTGTTTATTAACATTTGAATGTGAACCATTATGGTGTTCCTTTAATTAATATTCTGGAGCAGTATATCAATGAGCTCTAGAAAAAAATAGTCAGCTGCCATTAGGTACAAGTGCATTTAATAAAACAGCCAAAACCTAGAACCTTGTATCTGAAGTAAATGAGAAGGATGGTGAGGAATTTGACTGTCTGTGAAACAACACATTTTAAATTTCTTTTACTAGGTGATATAAAGCCTTTCAAGTGTTACTTGATAACTGTGTACCCTCTATATGCTGATGGTCAGGGAAGTGGACAGTCTGTGAAGGCTTATCTTCAGCCAGCTCGGAAG